TCTTTCCTTCCTTCGTTCCTACTCTCTACTCTCTCTTTCCTTCCTTCTTTCCTCCTTCTGTGGCCCAACTCTAGTGAGAAGGGGTTTAAACTTTAAACCCCTTCTCTCTTCCCTTCCCCCCCGCCCCCAGGGAAGGGAAGGGGAGGGGAGGCTTTTGAAGATGCCTTCTTCCCCTTCTGACATCACTTCTGGTGATGTCAGTGGGTGTTGCATATGCTAATGAGGTATTATGCTAATAGCCTAGTAGCTCATGAGCATACCGTATGCTAATGAGCTCCTGCAGCTCTTTTCCTACAAAAAGACCCCTGGAAAAGAGCAAGACTCCAGCAGCACCTTAAAGGCTAAGAAAATTTGCGGCAGAGTATGAGCTTTCGTGAGTCACTTCTCACTTCTTCAAGGCACTCCAAGGCCTCTTCTTGCATGTACAGCTTACTGCCGTTTACTGCAGAGAATCCGAGCAGTCGAGCTGTTAAGCTTCACTTCAGATCTCATGCAAAAAAAAAGGCCTAAGAAGAGATTTTGAGGTGGCCTTCTGAATGCACCCAAAAGAAGGGCAGGAGGGTCTCTCCAAGGAAGGAGGCTCCAGAAAACTCATAGAGAAGAGCTGCTTGGTCAGCGTCAAAAAAGGCCACTCGACCCCCAGTGTGGTTCAGGCACACTCGGATCCTCTTGAGCTCCCCACTCAGGGTCAGGGGAGGAGCATGGTCTTTTTCAGAAGCCCTGTAGCTGCCCCACCACTTCCCTGCTCCCCAGATCCCTTCCTCAGGGCTAATGGTGACGCCTCCCTTCCTCCTCACAGACTTTCTGGCCACCCCCACGGCCCATTCTTCCTCACTTCCCACAAGGACTTCCCAGAAATGGCAGCCTCCTGTGAATCCCTCACGGCCCAGCACAATACCCCAGTGGTCAAATCTCTCAGGATTGTGGGGCAGGGCTTGAACGTTTTCTCCTCGTCTCACGCTTTTCCAGCCCTCAGACAGGATGAGTTTGGGATGGGCGGTATATGGATCCAGAATCACTTTTGCTGCTGTTGGGGGGTGAGGGGCAGGAGAGAGAAAAGAAGCGGGTTCAACTGGGAGACAAATGGCAGAATTGTTTCCATGCCTACTTGACACTATTGTTACTGTCCCACATATGTCCATTCCCTGTGGATCTCCCTGACCTGGCTGGTTGTTTAGACATTTCGCCTACTGCGGCTTGTTCTGTTTCCCCTTCCTGCTTTTTGGTTTTAACCCTTCTTCCTTCCTCTGTCCTATTTAAGGAAGAAGAAAGGAAGAACAGACTTCCTGGGTTTCAACAAACATTACCCATGTGAGTACAGCCTGTCCCCCATATCCTATATCAAAGAAGTACCATGAGGGAGAAGGAAAGAGCAATGTCTATTTCAGGGGACCCCAACCTTTTTCATCCCATGGACACCTTTGGAATTCTGACATAACGTGGTGGGGTCAGGGACAAAATGGCTGCTGCAGGAGGCAGAGCCAGCCACAAAATGGCTTACCTTTAGTCATACGGCACAGATCCTTATGCTGTGGTGGCAAGCTGCTGCCAAAGCGACATTGTTAAAAATCTGAACAGCCAAGCAGTTCTTCAGTGGCCAATCAAAAGCCCTGCTGCCAAATCCCCACATGATCACACCCACTTTATAAAACACTTGGTGGGCACCAATGTTCCCTCTAAGCTGCGGAGTCTTGTGAGCAAAAATTCTACTTGGTGAGCTCCTGGCCTTAAAGTTGTGAGCGAGCGATTTGGCAGCTGCATGAATTAGTTTGCTCTGGAGCCCTCCTTCCTGAGCCAAGACAAAAATGTGTGAGCCGGAGGCTAAAAAACTGTGAGCTAGCTCACACTAACTCAGCTTGGGGGAACACTGGTGGGCACCTGGAAAAATGTTTGTGGGCACCCACGGGAATGGCGTTGGGGACCCCCAGTATATTTCATCCACCTTTATAAACAAACAAAAGGAGGCAGGTCATCCCCTCAAGAGTTCCCCTTCTCTGCCATCCTGGTAAATCCTGACAAGTCTCCTGAGGAGAAACCATCGAAGAACTGGCTAGGGCAGGGAGGGTGAGGTTTTGAGGGACAAAGCAAGAGTGTCCAGGGAATTTTATCACTGCAAAAACAGCAGGCAGAAGAAGACAGATTGTGAGCTGAAGCTTTTTAGATTAGAAATCACTGATTAGTGCACGAAATGTACCTTTCTGGAGGTGAAGTCCAGAATCCAGAGTGTCTTGAGGAAGCAAAACGGAACAAAATGTAAGCAGACAACACTTGCACATATCACAAATCTTTCAATAATATCCATTAACAACAACAAAAATCATTTGAGCTGAAGTAGAAGCTACTTCTGGGGAGAATTCTTCACCAAATTTTAATTACGTGCAAATATTCAAATTTATTTTCACTTAAATTGAGTTTTCTCACTGGCCCTCATTATGGAAAGGGAAAATGGATCATAACTATCACTTCACTCTCCTAAAAAGAGGCTAAGAATGATCCTGAACATGGGTATCCAGATGTTAATGGCTTTGCTTCGCAGAAAGTACGCTAAGGGCTCAAGGATCCAATCCAGATAAACTTACAATGCTTCCATACAGCAGTTTTGATCTGGTGTAGCATCCAAACTGGAATAAGGGCGTTTTGGAGACTCATACAATATGGTCACCTAACCCTCCTCTTTCTGGGATCTCTCCTGCTTTGCTCTGGACTTTCCCAAATCCTGTTTGATACAATCTTTTGGGGAAGACTGCAGTCTTGGGGTATTTTTCATCTGCTGTGTGGACAGGGAGGTGTGCATTTGTGAAAGACTCACATGTATCAGCACCACTTTCCTTGCCACACTGTCCCTGCAGCTGCCATTTCTCTCCTCCCACTAGCTTCTCTGGTGCTAGTCGTTTCTCACTTTCATTTATTGAAAACAAGTAAGCCTTCAGACTTTCTTCTTGTGGCGATACAAAGGGGAAGGTGAACCCCTTATTTCTCTACAGTGAAAAGGGCTAGAGACCTTTTATTAAAAAAAATAAAAACTGGGAATGCAGAAGAACCATGGCAGTGGGTCATTATAATACCCTGCTGTCAGAGCAATTAGAATTTCCCCTTATAGCTATGCAATGAAAAGGGCTAGAAACATATCTTTTTAAAAGATAATGGTCAGTCATGGCAATAGATTTTTATAGCATTAATCCCACATAGTGATTAGTCAGTTACCAATTGGGGGGGGGGGGAACCCTGGGTGCGGAGGAACTGTTATTCCAGGGTGCTGAGAAAAGGAAATTGAGGAAAACTGCTGTCTGGGTGCTCTCTGGCCAGTGCCAAGACCCCCCTGTTCACAGGGGTCATGAAGGCGTCATGGAGAACTGCTGCCAGGGGAAGCAGCCATTGACTCCCTGGCAGGAGGGTGGCACCTTGAACAACTGGGGGGAGGGAACAGATGGGTGGGCGGTTAGGATAGGAGGGGACCAATGCTCCCTCTACGCTGTGGAGTCTTGTGAGCAAAAATTCTACTTTGCAAGCTACTGGCAATAAAGTTGTGAGCAAGCAATTTGGCTACTGCATAAATTAGTTTGCTCTGGAGCCACACTTCCTGAGCTAAGACAAAAATGTGTGATCCAGAGGCTAAAAAATGGTGCCCTAGCTCACACTAACTCAGCTTAGAGGGAACACTGGAGGGGACCCAACTTAACTGTTCTTGTCCAGATTAGGGAAGGAAGAAGGACATCTCTGCCCGTCTCATCCAGCATTTGGTTCTAAATACTCAGCCCTCCCTTAATTCAAATTCAATACAAGTATTTATTTTTATAACATTTCTGCACTGCCTCTCCAGGAAACTGCTCAAGGCAGAAGTCGTTTGCTGAGGTCAATACTCCAGAGCTGTTACCTGCAACATTTATTGGCCATGTTTCTTCAGAAACAGAATGTCTCACGGTATCATCCTAAGCAGTGTTCCCTCTAAGCTGAGCTAGTGTGAGCTAGCTCACAGTTTTTTAGCCTCTCGCTCACACATTTTTGTCTTCGCTCAGGAAGGATGGGGCTCCAGAACAAACTAATTGATGCAGTAGCCAAATCGCTTGCTCAAAAATTTAATGCCAGTAGCTCACAAAGTAGAATTTTTGCTCACAAGACTCCACAGCTTAGAGGGAACATTGATCCTAAGCAGAGTTATACTCTTAAAAGTCACTCGATTTCAATGGAATTGGCAGATGTCACAGCCACTCTGCTGAAGAGAGCCCTGTCAGTTCCCTTCAGGCCATTCCATGGGCTCCGCTAGGGCACATTCAAACTAACAAAACACTCAGTCCAAGTGGTCAGTTCTGAGAGGTCCGATTTGGACAGAGACACAGAAGGGGGTGGGGATCTTCCTGAAAGGAATCAGGAGCGTGTCTCCATTGAGTAAGGATGCCCTGGTCTCTCCCCTCTTTCATACTGGAGGCTTGTTCTGCCCTGAGATCTCAGGTCAGCAACACATGGGCACAGGAATGAACAGAGATCAAGCTGTAGAAACAGAGAAAATCCAGAGAACACAATGGTGTGCTAAAGCCAGGGAAGGAATTTACATCAGCAAACTTTTCATGCTGAACTAAAATAGCCTTTTGGAATTGGCACACAAATTCCCTGTCCACCTGGCCCTGCTAGTGTTATAAGTGACCTTGAGGGTTCCACATTCACACCTGGGCTCACCTAATGGCCTGCCTGAAACCCCTGCAGCTGTTCCTCATTACCTTTCAGTTGCTTCATGACACCATCCAGAAAGTGATTGATGTCACAGACATCCCAGATCCTCCACTTCAATGCAAGAGGAAAAGTCACGGGATTCTCAAACGTCTCCTTTTCTTCATACCTGGAGGGGAGAAAGGTGCAAGGTAGGCCACCATCCATCCAATCCAGAACTCCCACCAGTGGAGCAAAGAAATGACGGCAGGACTAAGCAGAAGCCCCAGAGACACCGGCGGATGTGGAAAGCAGTGGAAGAGGGGAGGCCCTCTGCAGAGGAAAGTCTGTCCCCTCACAGTTGCTACAGAGACCCCAAAGCCAGGCACCTGGAGGCCAGATCAGACACCAAGAGGAACTCGCGGCTTCCCCTTGAAATAGCAGCTCCACATCCCCTGCTCAGAAGGAGAAAGCTACCGTGGTTCCAGTGGGCAGAGAGGTGGATTAGGACTGCAGAGGTACTGGCTCCACTTTCAGCCCTCCAGCTTGCAGGGTGGTCCTCCTGGGCCATTCTCTTTGCCTTGCAGCTGAACTTATCTAACAGGGCTGTTATGCGGAGGGGAGAATCAAGCACGCTCCCTTGAGCTCCTTAAAGGGCAGGATAGAAATGTGACAGGGACAAAACATGCCAACGTGCTGTTGTGGGGCATGAGTTCCTGCCCCTGGGCCTGTGTTCATCTGCCAGCTTGCCAGGAACAAATGGACTGAGATCTGTGATCTGAGCCACGTCTGTGGTGGTCCTGAGCCTGAAGGGCCACTTTCTTCACATGCTACCCAGATCCATCCCAGCATCAGGAGGGTCATGAGGGAGAGGGATCCACTTACCTCTGCAAGGTGCTTTGGATGTCCTAAAGGGAGAGAAAGAGAGAAAGGGAAACTTAACATCTGCCACAGGCCACACTGGGAAGACCCCTCAGACCCTGGGGAGAGATGCGTTCTGATTCCTCTTTGTGTGCATCCCACTCAAGGACAGGAGCTGCACCTTCCTAAAGTGGAAGAACTTCTTCAGGAGGGAATGACATCAGCAGGCACAGTGAAGCCGTTTCAGAGTGCACAGGGAAGACAGATTTGACAACTCAGCGGTGCACAATATATTGCCACCCTCACCCTCCTTTTAAAAGTTGCTGCAGAAAACCTTGCATACAGGCCCTTATTACTGGTTGTCTCAAAGAGCTACTCGTGAACCAGGTTCTCCTTCCATGTGCTGGCCTCACATGCGCGCACACACACACACATATACTCACATGCTTCAGAGATTCCTCTATCTGCCATCTTCTCCTGTAGCTGACTAACCACCCAACTAATGGTCTTCCCTCCTTCTCCACCAGTGTGATCCCAGGGCATCCTCCGGACATTTGGTGAGTGACTAACTTTTTGAAATGGTGCCCCATCCTCAGGTGAGTGAGGGATTCACCAGCAAACGGTACTCTCCTGGCCATCCTGGAGCAGAGGCATCGGCTAACCCCTCCCTCCTCACACCGCAACTGTTATGGGTCACGGCCTCTCGATTCTCAGACTGAGCAAACGAGAGCTCTAGAGAACAGCAGAAGCTGAGACGTGCAGGTGGGAAAGGCTGACTATGCCACAAAAGGGCGAAGAGACCCCGGCAGAGGCCCATGATCACACCAAGACCCTCTAGCTCAGCTGACCAACGGCTCTTCTGCAATCAGCTGGAAGTGGCCCTATGGCTGTGGGTCCATGTGGCTCTTAGTGCCTTCAACATTTCCAACCCGCAATGTTCACCCCCAAAGCATCAACACTGGAAGGCACATTAATGCAGCAACCCCTAGCTATCCTAAGGAAAACAGCTGAAGCCTTCCTCGATATTTTCTGGCTTCACTAAAATGCACTCATTTAAAGTGTTCTTTCGTTTAAAAGCAAAGTTAGGATGTAAAAGCATTGATCAAACAGTAAACTGGCTTTTGAAAAGCAACGGAGGAAGAGGGCATGTTGCTGGACATGCAACCACAGAGGGGCACATGGGCAGAATGGAAACAAGAACTGAATGGCAACATTAATGGGGCTCATTTGCTTTCTGCCCCAGTGAAGGAGGCACAGAGAAGGTCTGGCGGCAGCCTTATCCCCACGGGGAGCCTGGGCTGTTCCTGCCACCCCCTCACCTGCAGGAGATCACCGGCTGGCAGCTGACTCTTCTCCTCCATCTCCCGGATGAGGCTTTCCAGAGAGGAGAGCTCCTCAGAGAGTCTGGCCAGGTGCTGCTCCCTATTTCTTGCCACCTCCTTCTTCACCTCTTCCATCTGGGCCAGCAACCGTTTCTCGTGTTCTTCCAGAAACGTGTGCAGTTGCCTGAACTTGGCTACAGTCTTGTGCTTCTCTCCTGTGGTTTGCTTCTGAGATGGGAAGAGAAGAAAAGCAGGCCAGCATCAGGAACACAGCAGGGCACTGCATTCTGGGCAAGAAAAAAAAACAAACGACTGCAGGGAGAGAAGTCTACATGCTACTGAGCATCCCAAGTACTTTCCCCCTTAGACTCGGCAATCACTGAACACCCCTTGGCTCAACTCAGGATCAGAGGGGACTCTATCAACATTTTTAGCAAGTATTTGGGGTGGGGTGGGGGGATTATCTGTTTTCAGAGACTTCTCCTGGCTTGCAGTGTTGGTGCATGCACACAAGTGGCATCTGGACACATATGTCCATCAACCCAGGATACACCCCACAGCAGAGAGCGCCTTGGGAAGTCAACTGATTTTGCCCCAGACAAAAACACCCAAGAACAACAACACATATGTTCTAGATCTGGATGAATAACCAGGGGTTGCCCACATACTAGACACCCCTAGGAGATTGCCATGGCCGCCAGAGGGGAAGGGAGTGCCAGGGGCACCAAGAGTGTACAGTTCTGCACCATCCCCAGCCCCAACTTTGTTTAGAATTGCAGTGTTAGGTCTACTTTTGGGGGCCTGGTCTGCTGAATACTGACCATCTGTGCACTGAACTTCCAAACTGGAAGAAGGGGGGAGCCCACGTGGGTTGATTTTTCTTTAGTTGTACTCCATTGTTTCCTCCAGTACGTATTCTAGAATCTGTTCATTCCCCAGCCACAGTGACACTTACAAGCAGGTCTAGGCTTTGCCTCAATACGTCTCCTTTATATGCCAGAATTCTTTCTCTCTCCTCCTTCAGAATCTCCAGACGGCTGCAGAACTGATCCTGGGGAGAGACCCAAAATAGAGATCAGATTCTTTATAGAAGTTTACTGTAATACATATGAGAAGCAAAACTATCACTAAGGGTCAAACAGATTATAACTGCCAGAAGTCTGTAGCGGAACCTTGAACAACAGTTCCCAAAGGCTAGACACAGGTAGCTTCCTCGTGGGGATGGTGCCCCATTCTCTTCTAACATCCACTACGAATGCAAAGATATTCACAGTGCCCACGCTGCTTCAGCATAGAGATTTACTGTGTGCTTTACCTTCCTGCCCACCATAACATCCCCCTGCCACAGGGGGGACTTTTTGCATTAAAAACCATTATTTGCAATCACTGTATCACTATTTTGTGTTAACAGTCCAGCAATATGCCCAGTACTGACAACTTTAAAAAGAAATGGCAAAAAAGCTCGCGGGAGGTGGTGCTTCCATTCAACAATTTCCAAAAACCTCTTTTGATATGATCCTGAAAAAATGACCCAAAGCAGGTTGGGGGGGGGGGGGCGTTAGAGGGGGAAAAACCTACAGCAGATCCAGGGAAAACTGGGAAGCTGAGCGGAAAGACCAAAATGTCCTGCCAAGCTCAAGAACGACTGAAATCAGGAAAGCAGTGGGTGGGGCAGAGTTAAAACTGGTAGATGCAGAAGATCAGATACAGAAGTGTGCTTGTACATGGAAGCTTAGACAGGAAGAGAGTCCATCTCTCCATATCACCCCTGTAAAGTACTGAGTTCGCCGCACGGAGGACTTGGCAATGACATACGTGGACATACATTTATTGTACTTCACACAAGAACTGGAAAATGGCCCTGCAAGGCCAACTATATACACACCCACCCAGCACACCCACAGTCCCGTTGGAGGGTTTGAATTTCCCGCCAAAGTTGCTATTGGTGAATGCTGGGGGAACTAGGATCCTAGGCTTCTATTGTTTAGAGGAGCTAAGCTCTCTAGCCACAGACCCCTGGTGGCGGGTCACATACATAACATCCCCACATTGGCCTCAGCAGGGGGACAGGAGGAGGAGGAGCAGAAGGAGCTGTTTTCACTCCCCAGTTTTGGCCCAGAGGCTGGGGAGGAAACTGGAGAGTTTCCCTGCAAAGAGACCAAGGAGAAGGGGAGGATTTACAGCTCTTCCCCATCAACCTCCACTGTGTACATTTCCTACCTTGTACTCTTGGGAGGCCTCCTCAAGAGGAAGGGTCTCGTGATCTCTGTGCTCCTTGGATCGGTCGCAGACCACACAGATGAGGGCTTCATCGTCCTTGCAGAAGAGCTTCAGGGGCTCCTGGTGCTTCTGGCAAACTCCCCCTTTTCTGGCTGCCACCACCGCCTGGTGCCCAAAACGAAGAAACAGGATTTGTTTCGTCATCCCCTCCCCGAACTGTATCTCTCCTTGTAATAACTGGATATCATTAGTGCCTTGTTCAGTTTAAAAATAGGTATTTTATCTGTGTGAGGGAGCTGTAGGAAGGGTACTGGAAAAAAAACTTCTGAAGTGAAATGGGTCCAAGAGCAGAGAACAGAGCGACCTACGGCCCTACTTGTATTTTAGGTTCCACTTGTAAATGGATATCGGGAATTAGAGGGTCTGGGAGTTTGTTGTTGTTTGATTTTTTCCCTTTTTTACCAACTGGCCATCTTCCCTGTTAGGAAGTGGAGGCCAGTGGACTACAGAGGGCCAAGAAGAATCAAGATCCACATATTTCTTACTTTCCCTATTTTCTCGGGCAGCCTCCTCGAGAGGAATTACCTCTTTGCCGCAGACCACACAGAGGGCGGCTTCCTCGTCCTTGCCGGAAAACCTCAGGAGCGCCTGGTGCATCGGGCAGAGTTGCCCATTCGCACCTGCATCTTTTCCCTCCTGCAGAGCGAACTTCTTGGCTATTTCCACAGTGTTGACCAGCTGAGCCCGATGGCTCGGCCGGAGTTTCCTCTTCTGAGTTCTTCTCCTGCACTGGGGGCAGGAAGACTTGGCCCCCGACTCCCCCCAGCTGCGGGTCAGGCAGGCTGGGCAGAAGTTGTGGCGCAGATGGAGCAAGACAGTTCCTCACAGGGCTCCTTCACGGGACCTCCAGCCGCCATGGCTGCCTCGACGAAGCAGGGAGAGAGAGAAGCACAGAGTTGTTTTCGGTTTCTTCCCGCTTTCTTCAGGCAGCGAAGGGGTTTTCCCTTCTTGCAAAGTGACTCTGTGCCGGCGTCCAATTAGCAGCCCGGGAATCACGCAGCTGCCAGAAGAAACAAATCGCTAGGGAAAGGGGGGGGGGAGGAGACCGAAAATGGGATGGAAACGCCTCTTTTGCCCTCCTTTGGCTGGCATCTGCAGGCGCCTCGGAGGGAGGGGAGCAATGTTCCCTCTAAGCTGTGGAGTCTTGTGAGCAAAAAGTCTACTTTGTGAGCTCCTGGCAGTAAAGTTGTGAGCCGACCGATTTGGCTCCGGCATAAATTAGTTTGCTCTGGAGCCCTCCTTCCTGAGCT